AGGGTGCCCGACCATCACTGCTATCTTAGAACTGCTTGCGTTTAGTACAGTTGCCTTCTAAGTAATCTTGATATCTGACGGTACCTTTGGACACGGTGGAGACCTTAATGCGGTAGGTGGTTTCGTCTTCGAATACTGGCTTCACTGACATGAGCATATGTTACAAGTGTTATATCAGAGGATTTCATAATTTCCAGCATTTTCTGGCCCTGGGACTCACTGAGAAAGTAGAAAGGTAGTCGAATTATAACTTAGGTCATCACTTGTTATTGTATCACAATCTCATGAGTAGGATTTGAGATAAAATATGACTCAGCGATCCGAGAATTCGCATTCACGGCTTATAATCAAACACGCTGCGTTTTCTTCTTTCTAAAACTTTCAAAAGTAGCACGAAGTAACGAAATCTCCTTTGAGTGCACTCGATAAGTATACCCAACTGTTTCATTTTGCTGTTCCCTATTTTATATCATTTTCCTTATACAATACTTCATGTACCATATCTTGGTATTTTCACAGTGCATCAGGTTTGTATTTTAAATAAAATAAAATAATACTTTGATGTCAGAAAACAAATTTTAATCAGGTAATTGAAGAACACATCATACTTTTGAGTCCGCTGCACTTTGATAGGGATTGATAATCAATTCCTAGTTTGGGAGTCTTCATCAGTGCGCACCCACCACTGGGGTTCGAACCCAGGACCTTCTGGTTACAAGGCGAGCTAGCTCGTAGACCATTAAGCCACTGGGACCCAACCAAGTGACCAGTTCATGAATTCTACCTTCCACCAATTCATGACATAGCTTAACCACTAGCCAATGTCTTCGGCAAGTAGGGTACAGTAGGTAGGGCATGAAGACAAATACTCGCCGAAGACATTGGTTAGTGGTTACGCTATGTTATGAATTGGTGGAAGGTAGAATCCATGGGCTGGTCATTGGATCAGATCCCAGTGGCTTAATGGTCTACGAGCTAGCTGACCTTGTGACTAGAAGATCATAGGTTCGAACCTCAGTGGTGGGTGAGTACTGATGAAGGATCCCGAACTAGGACGAAACAGCTGTTCATTACTCTCAGGATTTCCAACAGTTCTCTAACCAAAGTCAGCTCATAATGAAATTCTGTAACCAGAGACTGATAATAGCCTCACAGTAACGTAAAGCAAACACAATTGTCATACTTGAGGGAAGTAGTTTTTAAGCTTAAGCCATAATATATGCTATCATTTCTGGGCATCCAGTGGCACTACAAACTGTTCACTAGAATTAATGCGAAATATTTTTTATTTATTTATCGGAAACGAATATTCGAAATATTTTAAATCGTATATCAAGGTAATCTCAAAACCTTCAAAATAACACACATATTCTCAAAATTCATGTGAATTTACGTTGATTACACGAATTGACAGAAGTTGGAAACAGGAGTCATTGAATCCCGACCCACTGTCAGATTGATAAATTACTTCACCTGGTCTTTAGCTGAGTTCAGCTTATGGTAGAAGATGACAGAATTTCAGTAGTCCTTGAGTATGAATAAAGGGAATAAAGGAAATGCTTCTTACTTTGACAACGTTCAGCAGGTGATGCAAATTCCTGAAGAAAATACTCATTACTGATTAACATTCTAATTTAATGTCGACAAATAGTCAGATATTCAGTTAATTTGGATCTTAAAACTGCATACTGATTATTGAAAATTTGTACCGGTGAAACAAGAGGAAATTTCTGATAGATTATCGAGGTATAGTGAAATGTCACCGCTTGAAATTCCCTATTAGTACACAATAAAACAAAAAAATTATACATATTTGTTGTTGATGTGATAAAATTTTTAAGCACAACATTCAACTACTTACAAGTAGATAAAAATTTCAATATAAATTTAGCCACTAGCCTATGTCCGTTAGTGGACCAATGGAAACTACAAAATACTGGATACCTATTTCGCTTTAGTTTAGGACTCCTCAGATATGCTCACCCATAACTTAACCAGTAGTCGAATCTAGGGCCTGCAGGTGACGAGGCCAGGTTACTGAACATTGGCTAGTGAGACAACAGTTAATGAACCGTGAATTCTGACTTCTGTAAGCCGGCGAAATACCACCACCTCCAACCAATGCTATCGACGGGCAGTCATTTCACCTTGATATAGTGGACTCTATTTACCACAACTTCACGCTGAGACTTAAGCGCGAAAAACTAATAGCTGGTGTTTGTATTTGAATAATGATATGTGTGCAGTCATATAATTCAGTTTCTGACCCATAAACGACACTAATTCTTGTTTCTAGCTATAATTAACCTTTTAGCAATAGGAATGAGATAAATTCACCGAATTCTTTTTTGATGTTGTCACTGTCTATATTATTGATCATTCCCACCTAAGTAAAGTATTTAAAACTAAGAATGAATTGTAAAACAGATGGTGGCGTAAAAGAATGCAAGCATTACAACAAAACTACCCTGTAATATTGTACCAGTTAACTCAGTGGTCATATTCAACATGTAGACAATAGATTTCGATTAACACTCAAGGATAGACAGCTGCAGTATTAACCATTCAACGACTTACTGGTGTGATTTCTTCACTTTTAAGAACAGTTAATTTGTGACTTGAGTAAATTAGAGTTAAGATTGGTGCATGTTCCGAGTTAGAGGAAATATGCATTACTCCGAGCATTTAGACTTATGGATCCATGGAGTCTCTGAATGTTGGTCTGAGCAAGGTAAGGGTATAGTAGAGAAGATTTGTATGAACTGTAACAAGCATTACATCGACCAAAGTGGGCGTTCCCTTCGAATCAGAATCCAGGATCACAAATCAGCTGTGAAAAGACACAATATGTATTCTTTCATATCAATGCATATATACAATTATGGACATCAATTTAATTGGGATAATGTCGAAATTTTAGACAGAGAAAACACCAAAAGGCAATGCCACCAGACAATGCCGCCAAACACTAGTGTTTACAGAAAACCCACACATTCAAACAGATATTTGGATTTCCGATCATCCCATCCTATGTCAGTAAAAATAGGATTAGTGAAATGTTTAAATGACAGAGCACAAAAACTAAGTAGTACCAAGGAAAATCTAAGACAGGAAGTGACACACATAAAAGAAGCCTTGAAACTTAATGATTACCCGGATAAATTAGTCAAGAAATATGTAAATAAGTATAAAAATAAAATAAATAATGATAACAGAGATAGTGATAATAATAATGATAATAACAATAATAATAATAATGGTAATAATAATAGTGATAATAATAATAATATTAATAACGACACCAACAATAAGGAATGTAAATCATCAACAATAATTCCATACAAAGAAGGAACCTCGGAAGCCTTACACAGAATTCTTAACAAGGCAGGAATAAAAGTGGCATTCAAACCCACAAACTCAATTAGAAACAAGCTTTGTCGGTTAAAGGATCCTGTAGAGCCATTAAAACAAAACAATTTAGTTTATCTAATACCCTGCAATGATTGTGAGGTCAAATACATAGGTCAAACTAGTAGAACCGGGGCAGTCAGACTAGCCGAACATAAAAACCTAACAAAATCTAGATTGGTTGATCCAAATAAGATAAGAAATCTAGAGAGTAGTTCAGCTATAGCACTACATGCAGTTACACACAACCATACAATAGGATGGGATTGGATGACAGTTTTAAAATCTAATGTCACAGGGTGGAGGGAGGGAGAGATTGATAACAGAAGCTTTCTTTATCGAATCAACTGCAAATACATGTAATAGGAATGATTCAACACCTGTCCCAGATATATGGAAAATTCTACTGCCCATACAACAAATAGGAGAAGACAGAGGAAACTATAAAAATCAAATCTCGAAGTCGTGTGACAAAAATTGATATGATTATGAACAATAAATTGTGTTCGAAACGTCATCCAGTATACAATACTGTTTCACTGTGTGATACATTTAATAATCAAACTAATATGGAATTACTTAATACCACAGTGCCCAAGTTTTACACATATATAAATCAATTCACTTTGTGCTAAAAATTGCGCCGAAGACATTGTTCAGAAGGAGGACGGAAGCTCCGCAACTAAACCAACCAGCTCAGAGAACACTATTAATTCCAAAAGGTAAGGGTATGTAGACTGCTTGGCTAAAGTCTCCGAGACCCTAAGAACCGATGTCTAGAGATTATTGATAACACAGTTTAAAATCGTCCTCAGTATTTCAATTTTCCAGGTGTTTGGGATCTCCCACATTTATCATATTTATATTCTTCTTCTTCTTGTAATTACTCTTTCTATTGTAGGTTTTTGTCCATCATAGTTGCTCTGCATTTCCTTTTTTTCTCTCTACTTCTATATGTGCTTCATGAAATGAGTCAACTTGAACTGCTGTACTTTTTTGCAAGCTTTAATGTTGAAAATTAGTTCAATTCTTTTAAGAATCCTACCAAATGACTCATAACATCTATTTAAAAAGTATAGAAATTTCTTGAATAGTGAATAAGTTAAATGAACCTTATAAGTTTCACATATCAGCGACTGCCATCGCTGGCTCCATAGTCAAGGCCAGATAACCAGACAGAAAGGATTAGCAACAACGGACCCTGTCAGGGAATGAATCAACCAAAAAAGCTTATCGCCAAACTAGAATGCAGATGAATGCAAATGGAGATGGATTGGGCCCACGCTAAGGAGACCACTAAGTGACATCATGCGCCAGGCATGTCCCTGAGTCAAACCGGAATGGGAAGAGATCGTGCCAGACGGAGGAGATGGAAAATGACAGGCAATTGGGGAACCAACTGAAAAAACCCCTTAGGAGAACTGGATGCTATGAAGATGTACAACTGAAGCCTTATATCCCATTCGAAACCCCTAGAGAATAATAATGGCAATAACAATAATCTGAAATAGATCAAATCAGAAGAAAATCCGCTTCATTGTCACAGTGTTTTATTTTTACTGTATATTTATGTAAAGAAATGAAGAGATATTCAGCGAAATAATCTTCTATTCAACAATAATGTATAAAGACTTCTACAAGAAGGATGCCTTTCAACTGACTACTTGTCAGTAGTACATTTTTCAACACAGAAATTATTATTTACTTAAACAGTATTAATATTGCAGCTCATTTATCGAAGTAAACTATTGTGTTCTTTTCGTTGTTGTTGTTGCTGTTGTCGTTATCATTACTATTGATTTTGTTTTGTTTAGGTGAAGGAATGTTCCCATTTCCTCCTTTTATTTATTTATTTATTTATCAACCTATCAAATCGATGATGAAATCTCTGGTACATAAATATATATTCATTCAAATAAATTACAACTGAACTAAAGAAATGTTTCGTAAAATAATGATAATAACAATAATTGATAGTAAAATATGAAAGTGACAATTTGTAGTTGTATAGACATCTGAGATATCTATTCTCTGATCTGAGCGTAGTCTGAATTCCACCTGTGTACGTGTTATTTGTACTACTCAAATATATTAAATAAGAAATTAAATTTTTTGAAAAATAGGAGCTTAATTAGGCAATACAATGACTAAGGGGACAGACAGTTCAACTATCTAGGGAATAAAAAGAAAAAAAAGAAAAATAAAGACGAAAACATTTGACTGAAGAGTGAACATCAGTTGTAAATTAAACAGAATGTACTCAATTAATGAATGAGGCGATTTTCGTAGAAAGAGTTGACTTCCCCTCTCCCCTGTCTGTCTACTTTCTTTGATACTGATCAACTGTGTTACGAGTAAAGAATTTTAAGTTGAGTTTTTTACAAGGATGCATGTTTGTCACACTTTTGCTTGGAAATGGAGCCTTTTGGGTGTATTGTGTAGAAGTGTTCAACGAGTCATCATGAAATATCCCTTTGCTGTTATTATTATTATTATCTTTGGCAGTCGTAAGGGGTTTGTCTGATAGGTGTGAAGATTTCGATTCGTTTGTACTTCCATCATCAATTCCAGAATCACTAGAATTTTGTTTTTGAGCTGATTTTGACAAGATGTCATCATCATCACCATCGTCGTCATCATCAACGCAATCATCACTAGGATTTGTATGATTATGGCAAATGAAGTCATCACTAAAGTTGTTATTACTCATATCAGTCTCCATATTTTGATCTTTACTAAGCTTATTCGAATTCAGCGGTTTATTATGCTGATTATTCAAACATGCTGATTGTATATCATGAAGATTTGTCTGTGATTGTTTAGCTGATATCTTTTTTTGTAAATTGGATGAAATTTTCATATTTTTTAATTTACGAAATATAATAGTCTTTCTACGTGAATGTCTATGCATATCATTGTGGCATAATGATGAATGGTCATAATCTATGCTAACATTTTTACCATTAAAGTGTATAATACTCATTTTCACTTTATTATTATTAACACGATTTACAAATCCAGGTATTTTATGAATCTTATTCATTGTCTTATGATCACTTGTTACTTGATGCTTTCTACATCGGCTTGGTGAGTTCGACTTCATTGTAACAATTGCTGGCAGTTTATTACATCCGTTAACTTTACCTATTGATTGTTTTCGACTATCTTCATTATGCCTAAGATGATGAGAAGATTTTCTGATATCATCTGAAGATTTATTGAGTTTATTGTCAAATGAAGCGGAATTCGACACAGTGATGTTGTTCAACGTTTCAATATTTGAATTACCTGTCTTGATTTCATTTGTTGGTGAAATTCGTTGTGTTTTAATGGATGACTTAGCTTTATTCTGTTTTAAACAAGTTAGTGAATTTTGCTTTTTATGTATTTTATGCGGTAATAACACTAATAATGACGGCTCATTATTTGTTTGCATATTCGTCGAGGATAAAGGTGTATGACTGGTTTTTTCCAGTCCTATAGGTTCACATTTCTGCCTAAAATTTATTTGTGATTGACTAGATTGGCTGGAGACATGAGAAATTTTAACACCTGCTGTCAAATAATGTTCATCTGACTTTGTCATCAATGAATTCAGTACACCTATTCCGTCTTGTGATGATGGTTTCTGTGGACATTTTGATTCAGTGCCTATTATAAGACTTTTGTTTATTGAATCATTCTTATGTTCAATAGTTTCAGTTAAATATTCAATGTTTGAAGTGGATTTTATCTTATTATTGTCTTTTAATCCATTTTTCAATTTTGCAACATGTGACTGTGAATTACCACCAGTTATTTGTAATGATTTCAAGGAAGCTTTAACATTCAGATTTGTTGGAGTTGATTTGTGAATGGCATGCTGTTTATGCGTAGCAGTAGGCCATAGAAGGTTTGTTTCTTTTTGGATATTTATTGTGTCTGTAAAATCAGATTGTAGATTTGATGATTTCACTTCTTTCCTGATATGTGACTTGATTTGACCACTAAAATATTTAAATATGAAAAGAAAAATAATGATAGTGAAACACACCTACTTACATCTTGTTAGTAGTATGATTTTATTTTAAAAAAACACGACCAAATTTAGGAATTTCACTTAGATCAACAAAACTGGGACCTTGAATGGTTACTAGGATGTAACCAGTGCCAGTGTGTCTAGTCCTACATCAGGCAAATCGTAAGGTCTACCAGCTTAGTTCTAGCGTCTCTGACTGCAGTATTGGCTGATGCGGGTTTGAATCTCCTAGAAGACGTGGGCTCCGTCAAGGCGGCGGATACGCCATTCTGACAAATGATAGCAAGCATGAAACCCAGGTCCAGGACTTCCTGCTGATTGTTTTCAACTTTATATCACCAAAATTGGAACACAGAGGTCAGTGTTCAGCTGAAAGTGAGCTGTCTCACAACTCAATGAATTCACTGTTTTGACGAACACACTTATAAAAATCGTAAGTTAAAAATAGTGAATATTTCCAAGCTAAAAGTTTCGCACAAAATATTGTTAGTGAGAACAGTTCTTTAGTTGCGATACTATCAGTGAAGGGTTTGAACTTCGATCTTTTTAAAGTGCTAACAACTAAACCAATACGAAATGATGTTAAAAGTCAGCAGGTCATGCATAAACGGTTTCTAGTGAGCTGTGTGCAAACATGAAGTAGGTGTTATGTTATTTGGCGGATTTTGGTTAGTATTGAAATCCAGGATGCACATCCGTTCCTGTTTTTAACTCACCGATTGGATGTATCTGCATACCCAGTGAATAATGGTGTTTCCACTAAGATTCGACTATTTATGATCATCTTTTTTGGTAAAATTCATCCTTCACTTCAATTCAAACGTAGTTGATGGGTGCATAATCAGAGATTATAAAAAAGCTCCGATAAATGTCATAATTTCGCCTGACTTTTATAGATTTATTCAGTTGGACAGCATACAGACGACTTCCTGCTAGTACTTTACTGAGCGATGGGCTTTTTGTCTTTAATCTCAATGCTAATCCTATATCAGCAAGTCTACGACAGCTAACCGAAGAATCTCCTGACATTCATAGAGTGAATTTCGTAGATTCACTGTGGTGGCTAGGCGGGCTTAAGTGAATCACTGCTCATGGATTTTGTACACGTGTCTTTGAGATGCAGCATGTATCCAAAGCCTAATATTCTAGAGTTTTGTCTGTTCGGCCATATTCTCATATTCGATGACAGCTTTATAGTTGAAAGCACCGACATGAAGCAAACAGTGTGGATTCAGGAGACTAGGAAAGATGTTTCACTGGACTACATTGCTAACAACAGTTACAGGGCTCTGGGGAGATCAAACGGAGAAGTAGTGGGATTCAAATCTAAACAAGTTAAAAAACAAAATGATAAGCAAAACAACGTTGTATGTTTATCGAAGCGTGTGGACGATTGTTAATTCCTGTGTATCAACAAGGTGTAAGTCTATTTCTTCGAATTCATGAAAAACTAATAGATCTACTTCTGCCGAAATACACAACCCTGGAGGATAACTGCCAGGGAGAAGAAACGTTTCTTCTGGTGAAAAAGTTTACAGCATCTTGCCAGTAGGGAAAATCTTACCACTGGGTACGACCCTCTGTAAAATAAGTTGATAGGATCAATTTTGGAGCCAATATTTTCTTCCCCTTTATTACAAGTTCGGCAAGACAACATGGCTAGTTTCTCGGGTCTCCAACAGAAACAAAATTTGCTGTTAAACCCCTTTCTGTCAGCAGTACAACTTTGCAGGATAGTTTACACGGATTGGTTACCAGACAGCTACCAATTATTATTATTATTATTATTGTATCCTTTAGTTCCTAGAGGAACATAGGGCTTCAGCTGCGCACCTCCATTGACTTCGGTTTTCTGACAACTTTTTCACCCTGCTCCAGGTCTGTCCACATGCTTTCATCTCCTCCTCGCATGACCTCCTCCAAGTCACCCTTGGACGACCAACTCGCCGCCTCCCTTTCGCGTTCCACTCGAGGGCTTGTCTAGTGATGTCACTTGATGGTTTCCTCAGCGTATGGCCAATCCATCTCCATTTCTTTCTGCCTATTTGTTTCACAATCGGTTCCTGATTGGTTCGCTCCCAGAGATCCCTGTTGCTGATCTTTTCTGGCCATCTGATCTTGAGTATTGAGCGGAGACAGTTGTTAATGAAGGTTTGAAGTTTGTTTGAGATGCTCTTTATGACTCGCCAAGTCTCTGATCCGTATAGTAGCACTGACAGCTACCAATGCCACGCGTTTACTCCTTAGTGTTATTGCAGACTGGATGTGTTCGCCATTGCAGTTCACTATGAATTGATATTAGATGGTCCCTGACTCCAGCATTGGGTAATATGGGTTCCAATCCCAGGTAGGGGGGAGATTAGTTTCATCAAGGTCACAGATACGCCTTTCTGACGAGTGCCAATAAGCATGAAACCTAGTTCCAGGGTTTCCTCCCGATTGCCTCCAACCATGTAACTTCAAAACAGAAGTGTCGGAGAGATTTTATCATGAATCAAAATCACCTACAGAACTACTAAAAGCCATTGTGCAGAGGAAAACTATTTCATCTTATCTTCAAAACATTTTGACAATAATCGCTTATGACCACATATGGAATCGGATAGAAGGCAGCTAGATGGTAGAGAGAATTGATGGATGGATGAAAACAGACTTACTGAGAACTCTGTTACAGTTGCATTTGATCCCACTAGCAGTTCTTTCTTAGGAGTGATAAAGTATCCCAAACTAGAATGAAGTAACAGTTCAATACTCCTTCTCTAGGTGTTTTTAACTCATGACATAGTTCACTTTCAAATCAGTAGTCATTTAGCGAAATGCATGACACTATGTACTACTAATCAACTCGGATGAGTAGTTGTATATTACTTACAGTAACCACCAGTAATGCCTGTTAGTTAGCTTGAAGTCATCTAAACAAGGGATGCCTGTTTCACGCCTATTTCTTAAAATATCCTATACCTGAAATATGAAATACAGACTTAAGCATAGTTCAGTTTAAACATTAGTTAGAAGTGAAATAACTAACAGAACAACAGGAGAAGAAGTTCCAATATCATTGACAGATGTTGCAGTGATATTGATCTCTGGAATTAATACTGTCTGTTGATCAAGATTGGGTGTTGTTTTATTCAAACAAAAACAACGGGATGTAGTTGTACTATCCAGTTGTTGTTGTTGTTGTGGTTTAACAATTCGTGAACCAGTCACATACAACTCCATCCCTGTGTACAGGCTAGATGAACTATGAAAATGTTGTCTATACAGTAGTTCAAAACGTCCTACATCAGAGTTTCGACTGTATTTTCTATCTAAAACAACTGGTAAAAAGAAAAAGAAAACCAATAATTAAAAGTATATTACTTTGTGATTAGCAATTTCAAAGTAGTTTCATCTCATGATATTCGGGATTTGAAAGGGTAAATCCAATGCCTGTTGTTTCACTTCGAAATTAGGAATCTTCCAACATACAAATTTAATATACAAGTATTGGTTTTGTAGGGATTAAGTTTGATTGGCTGGAGGATTTCATCATGAGCTGACATCAGTTAGAGAACCACTGGAAAACCTGAGCGCACTGGACAGCGGTTTCGTCCTAGTTTGGGACTCTTTAGAAGTACGCACCTACAGGGATGGGGCCCCAGTGGCTTAATGGTCTACAAGCTCGCCTTGTAATCAGAAAGTCCTGGGTTAGAACCTCGGTGGGTGCGTACCGATGAAGAGTTACAAACTAGGGTGACGAAACAGCTGTTCAGTACTCCCAGGTTTTCCAGTGGTTCTCTAACTGATGTCAGCTCATGATGAAATCCTCTGTCAAAATTTAATATAACAGTTCGGTGGATGAATTTACAGAAAAAGGCAAACTACTTGGTTTCATGTTCCAGCAGACTTACAGTGAAGTAGAGTCATTTCTTATAGAATAACCTTTAATAAGTATATCATCAAAAAATGATAATCAGTGAAATCTTATTGGAAGAGAAGTTAAAGAATGGGGAGCTATACGAAACAGCCAACTAGTGACCTTGAAGTAGCCTGTTACAGTAAACCAAGCTAATTTAAACAAAACAATGGTATGTTCAAGAAATAAATGCTTAAAGAAGCGTTAGGGTATTAAATAGATTCACTATCTGAAAATTTTGTAAGAACACCTCCCAGTTGCTAATAGAAGTGGTGTTTATCATCCAAATGATTATCTTTTAAAGGCTGGATATAAGATTTTTTTTAATAATTCCTTTCCGTCCTGAGCGAGACATTTAATAACAAATTTATTCTAGTTTAAATTGGATTGATCAATGAGTATTACTAAAAACGTGCTTTGATGGTTTTAAGTGTATCAGCATTTTTGTCGACAGTAATGTAAATGTCATCAGTATATCGCCTGTGGATGTTGAACTGATTTAGAGCTGATTTCAGAGTACTTGATTCCAGGTATGCTGTGAAGCAGTCAGTATATAATGGATCAAAAGGCGATCACATATCTACTTCAGCCCTTTGTCGATATATTTCATCAATAAACAGGGACTGGACACTTAGTGTACATCCTAGTATTATATTATTATTATTATTCCCTTAGGTTCCGAATGGAACTCAAGGCTTCAAAAGCCCATCTCCATTTAGTCATGTTGTTTGCAGTCATTTTTAGCTGGCTTCACGATATTCTATAAGCACTTTTCTTCTCCTCATACGAATCCCTATATGTCAGTCTCAGACCCACTTCCAGCTAGTCGTTTTCCATTTGGGTTCCATACAATGGAACGGTATACGATGTCATTCAGTAGTTCCCTCAGTGTTTGTCCAATCCATCTCCGATTCCTAATGCATATTTATTTGGCGATAGTTTGCTGGTTGATTCGTTACTTGGCATAGTTCCTTGTTTCTAATCGTTTCCGGCTAGCTGTCTCATCTTCAATATGGTGAAAGTCTGAAGCCCCTTAGGTGACGTGCCAAGTTTCTGAATCATAAAGAAGTACTGACTTGTTATTAGTTTTGAAAGTCTGAATCCCGTTCTTTATGCTTAGTGCTGTAGATTACCACAATAATTTCAGATTAATGAAGGTTTGTCATGCTTATCCGTTGCTGTCGCTTATATCTTCATCCAACGCCACTTGTAGTTGAAAGGATACTAGCCGAATAAGTGGAAGAAGTGACCTTGCACAAATTTCCCCTGTTGATAATGACTGGTGCCTGTTGGTAGTTGGGCACCTTCATCACCTCTGTCCTCTCTGCTTCTTCTGCTAACTCACTGGTTTTTGCTTGTAGATGTTTGAATTTGTGTGACATTATACAAAAATTGTCCATGAAATATGATTCTTCTAGTGTTTTTTTTTGTCGACCCAAAGTATTCCTGTCTTCTCACAATCTAGTACTAATCCCTGAATACACCTACCTATCAGGTGTACCACCACTTAAATTATTTGAATTTATAAGTTTACTTATGAGAAAGTATTATCTTATCACTAGAAACAACACTATACTGGTGATAAGGTAAAAGTCATCGAGAAATAATATTTAGTGATGCAAGAAAATATTTCCTCAATTATGAAAGGACTTCAATGAATTTAGAAGTAATAATTGCTTGATAACAAAAAATGTCACTTTGATTGGATACTAGTAACTAGTGCGATGTGTCTAGTCCTTTCTTTGGTGTAGACTGAATTCTATCAGTCAGATGTGCAATATGGCTACCATTCTAGGTAGCTCGCCATCACGGTGCACATTGATTTATTGATATTCAGTCTGCACCGAAAAAAGGACTAGACACATCACACTAGTTACTAGTGTCCAATCTAAGCATCCACCACTGTCCTACAAGAGGTAAACTGCGAGCCTAACTAGCTTAGTGGTAACATCTCTGACTGCAGCCCCACTGGGTGACGCCGGTTCGAATCTCAGAAGGGACATTGGTTGTTCCTTCAAGGTTACAGATACGCCTTGCTGACTGGTGAGTGCCAATTAGCACGAAACTTAGGTTCAAGGCTCCATGTGGCCGACTGCCTCCAACCATCTAACATAACCAAAAATGTCATTTAAACGGACTGCATTCAGGCCTCTTAATATACCACTTTAATTCAATTCTGTGTCGTAAGATTGCTCCCATAGAGCTGGTCAGCACTTCAGTGATTTGTCTCAGCTGAATCCATCCTGGCAAATTAATGATCAACTTAGGCTTAGATGAGAGGAACACAGATTTTTAAGTCACGACAGTCGGTCAAGTGAGCACCACTAAGTTGTATACGTCACTGCTGATTACTCATATCAATAAGGAGTACATAGTAAGCATACTGATTTACTCAACGAATCTCATCGGTAAATCTGGAAAAAGTTTGGTCTGGAAACTTCTGAAGTCTATATTACATGTGTATCACTATTTAAAATGTATAATTTACTAGTTCGTAAGTATGAGAGCTGAACAAAAATGCCTTGAAATACATTGAAATAGAAATCCAGTGGTCCCCTGATCCAAATTCTTTACAACCAATCATTTCTTCTAATTATCAATCATTAATGGTGTTTGGTGCGTCGGTAGCACAGCTGTAGAATCCTTGCCATCCACGCAGGTGGTTCACAGAACACAATGAAATGACGTTGTGCTACTCAAGTCACATGTTCCACTTGGTACCCATAGGCATAATACCGGTAATAGTACAGTTAACGTAAAACTGTTTTTATTGAGTTATTCAAGTTTATTGTGTGCGTCGGTGGCACAGCGGTAGAATGCTTGCCAACCACGAATGTGGTTCGGGGTTCAATCCCCGGCCACCAGCGCACTCCTCTATTACCTCGCTAAGCGAGTAGTAAGACTAATAAAGAGGGGAGGTTGGGCATGAGGCGGTTAGTAACTCCATCCCGTAAAAATAACCACCACTGCTAATGGAACTTCAAGCTTCTAGGTTGAAGCCCTATTTTCCACTGGAAACGTAGAGGAATAGAAGAAATGTTATTTGCTGGTATTGGAATCTAGGGTGCTTGTTTCGTTGTATTTGGGACTCACTGTCTGGAAATGTTCGCATCCCAGTGAGTGATGGTAATCGCACAGTGAATAGGATCTAGAGATTACTGTGACAGAATCCAAGGCATTATCTATCAGCCTGACCAACCGCGGGAGTCAACTTTTGTGTAAGAAATGTCAGTTATTATTTAATGAAAGTTTCAAAGTGCTGTTCTTTAATTTTTCTGGATATGATCAGGATGTAAATATGCCAACAGGGATCGACCATCTCAGTTCAGTAATATCTGACAACGGAAAATTACAGCTTCCAATAAATATCAGTGATTACTTCATTATTTTATTATTTGTTAATACAAAAATGCAGCTAAATTTAGTTATTCCATAATCATTATTAAGTAGTCATTTTTATATCAGAAACACCTATTAGTCTATTCTGAAACTTTATTTTACAATCAAACTTGCAGTCTGCAGAATAATTTTCGATTTGCAGTTCACATATATCTAAGTAGAAGTGCACCAGTTTCCTTCAGAAATCAGAATTGCTCAGATCACAATTTGGCGACCTGCCTGATACCATAAATTGCAGTTAGGGAAGTGAACATAAATCCATGGTGACGATTGATTCATATGAGTATTTAGATACGATTCGTATCAACCAGTAGGGCTTAACAACCTGATCTAAACAATCTAAACACCGAACGGCCATTTCGCTCGTTTTGGGGCAGAGCTAATCAATAGTGTATGCGGTTTAACTCAGGTCAGAGAAGCGAACCAATTCGGCTGTTTAATCACCCTTCGTAGCATCAAGCAGATCATATATTGTGACCTGAACAATTTTAACCTTCAAAGGGAACTGTGGTAGAATTTCACCTAGAAAGGGTGTTAAATTTCAAACTGTGAATTCGATTTAGTATGTTACCAGTTCACCCAAGTATCTATCCAGAATTCGGATGGTTTCAACTGGTTTGGCTCCTTGGCTGAGTTAAAGCCTGTACATTGCTGATAAGTTCGGCTCCAAACACCAGATACGGCCTTCTACTGTTTAGGTCTGACTGTGAAGTGCTACTGGTTAATGTGACTCCTATCCAACTACTCATATTGAATAACCAGTAGTATAGGGCATTATTCGTAAAGTTTTCAGTTGTTTTAATACGAGTTTTGCAGAAATCTTAAGATATTTTCATGAGTAAGTCATACAGACTAGCATTCCGCGGGGTGGTGGTTTAGAAATCTGCTGTTATTCAGATTCTAATTTTACCCGAACGTCTCCTAGTTTGTTGACCAGTAGTAAGCAGAGGAAAGAGTTAAGGTCCCCACAACCGAAACTCCAAACCTTGGGGTTCTGTGTCCCATTTGGAACGCAAGGGAAAGAAAAACCATACATATATATTGTTTGGGCTTACAGATTAACTCTGATAAAAGGTCTTGAACTAAGACAGCATAGATATTCGCGCAGTAATCGATTTGAGACGCGGACTATGCTGACATAAAATAAATTCTAAAATAGAAATTTTCAGAATTATAGTAAATAGAAAGTCTCCGGCATATTACCTTTAAGTGTATCCTCCAGAACATTAGCTGTGTAGACAGCTGTTACAGATGTACTTGGCGACATACACGGACTTGAATTGATTTCAATTAGCCATGGTCTGAAGTCATCAGCGGTTAAAAGAAAATCTGCACCATACAGACCAAAACAGTTCTAAGTAAAAATGAAATAAAATATGAATTAAAAACACCAGTTAGTAATATATATTTCTTGCATCCTTTAAATTTTGGTCAAATAATGCTTTCTTCTAATTGGCTACTTTATATTCGAATTATTGATCAAAAATTCACTGTAGTTCTAAAGAATCACTGAAAACAAGACAGTTTTTTCCTTCACGTTCCCCAGTGGAACATAGGAGGCTTCAACCTAGTGGCTTGAAGTTTCTGTAGCAGTGGTGATTATTTTTACAGGATGGGGTTGCTAGCCTCATGCCCAACCTTTTCACTTTACCAGCATTATTTCTAGCTTAGCGAGGTTTGGGAGTGAGTCGGTGGCCGGGGATCGAATCCCGGACCATGTGCGTCGTCAGTGAGCGTCCTAACTGCTATACCACCGACGCACGAAAATAAGACAGTACAAGGTAGTTACTACATCCTAGTCTGGGGCTCTTGAGCCGTGCACCAATGACCTTAACAGAAATTGAATTCAGGACCTTCAGGTTACTTTATGAACTCTTGTAACATTCAGTTACTTGTATGAACTCTTGTATCATTCAGTTACTTGTATGAAATGTAATCACGCCAAGAATTTTCAGTTCTATCCCTTCATTATGTATATCCTAACTACCAGCTAATATTGTAACAACATAAGACAAGGGCCAGGCAACAGATCGTTTATTTACGAAATCAACACGTATTTATAGATTTTCATGTACATTATTATAGCTTATTCAAACAAACACAGCCTACTGATTGGTTGTTTCCCACTGAAAGTTAACCTTGCATCTCTTTGTGGCTGTTTTTTGAATGTCACATCATTTATATATTAACTGTATCCCTCTACGCAAACTCTGCTGTGGTTGTTTGTTAAATCAGTCTTTGTTCATATTTTCTCACGACCAATATTGGGGACGTAAACATTGACGTAAATTACTGTGTACCAATTTGGCTTGCAGCCTAATCTCACCACAATAACATCGGTGATTATATTAAATATTCACACGGAAAATAATGTACAACCGTTCCCAGGTTTAATGTGCAACTGCTGTGCATTTTAGATGACGGCTTGTTTTACTCGTATTTCACAGAATATATGAATTTCAATTTGCATATGATTAAAATAACAGAGTAAACCAGAGACACAGTATAGTATTTTCTCTGTTACAAAAGGGTGGTTACTTCTTTCACCTATCTAGTCAGTGTCGTTTCAGATACGGACGGAACGGAATGAAGTCATCAAGAGTGGAATTGGAAGAGCAAGACGGGCCTTCATTACTCCGAAATCAATGTTGTAATCTACTGCGCTCAACATAATTAACAAGGTCAGAATTCCAAATACACTAAGGGCTTCTATATGGTTCAGAAATTGATGTGCAAGTCACGAAAAGTATTTCCTACCGGCTACAGACTTTCAGCATCAGTCGGGCGAACCAAAAATCGAATTGACTTCATCTCAATGCTGCTCAAGGAAAGGGAAACGCGGCTTACTAGACACAAAAGTAAGAAGAGGAGCAGACGTCAGCTGAGACCACTATCTCGTACAAGGAACACTCGAAATCAAAAATCAGAAACTTTCAAGGAAACAGGAGCTGCAGATAGACCAAAAGTCAAGTTCAGCACTCAAAAACTGAAGGACCAGGATACAAAGGACATCTTCACTGCAAGCATAAGGGACAAAGCCGAGACACAAATCAAAGAAGAGTTAGGACACGCAGTGGCTCACTACTGACACATCTAGACTAATAGAAGAGATAAGAATGTTGAAACAAAAGATCATCCAGTGCACTGACGAGCAAAAAAAAACAGGAGTTAAGTGCAAGCTACAATACACTGAAAAAAAGACTAAAGAATAGTGCCAGGGAAGGCAAAAGAAAATATTATGCAGCTATGGCAAGTGAAGCAGAACAAGCTGCAGGCAAAGGGGGCCTCATAACACTCTACTCAACAACTAGGTTCCTATGGGGAAGAGATCAACACAAAATAAATCAGTGAAGGGTGATAGTGGAAAGCAAATCACCAAAGAGGTGAAGCAAAGGGAACATTGAGCTGGACAATTCAAAAGACTTCTAAATCGACCACCACCTGCAAAGCGCCTAATAATACCACCAGCAGAAGCAGAACTACCAGTGGACAACAACCCTCCGACGAAAACAGATATCTTGAATGCAATCAAGATATTGAAGCCTGGAAAAGCGACAGGACCAGACGGAATCCCAGCAGAGGAATTGAAAATGGACTCAGAAACATCAGTAGACTTGATGACACCACTATTGAAGAAGGTGTCGAAAGAGTACAAGATACCTGAGGATTGGAAGAAAGGCTACCTATTCAAACTGACAAAGAAAAGAGATTTAAGTCAGTGCAACAACTGGCGCTGAATTATGCTTCTGTCCATCCCAAGCAAACTACTAAGCCGTATCATCCTGCAGAAAACCAAACACGCCCTGACTGAAAAACTTCCACCGGAACAAGTCACGTATCGATCAAATCGCAACAGTACGGATCATCATTGAACACAGACTGGAATAACAGTTATCGCTCTACCTCACTCAAATTAATCGACTTTGAAAAGGCCTTCATCAGACTGCGTTGATCGAGAGGTGATTCGGAAAAAAATTCGCTACTATTAAGGGTTGCCGCCAACAATTATACACCTCATCCAACAGTTGTATGATAATGCTGCATGCCGAGTAATCCACAACGGGAAACTCATGGAACCCGTGAAGTGAAGATGGGAGTAAGACACGACTGGCTGGCTACCTACTATCTACAATGATTTTCTTGATTGTGGGTGGTAGACTGGATAATCTGACAAACAGTTAGCGGGCGGCGAGGAAACACGCATTAAATGGACCCATGCAAAACAAACTTGGAGGATCTGGACTTCGCCGATGATATATGTCTGATTTCCCACAAACTGGGAGATATACAAGCGAAAAGCAACAAGTCGGCAGAAGAAGTATCCAGAGAAGAAAGAACTTCAGGTGAAGAAGACAGAGATGGTGAAGATACCTGGCCAACAGCAACAGCAAAAACAACACCAACAACAACAGACAACAATCAGCCAGCATGAATGGGAGAAATCTGAAAAAGCAACTTCTTTCACCTGTCTACCTACCTGGAAAGCATCGTTCCAACTACAGGTGGACGGAACTGATGAGGATATCAAAGCAACAAGGATCGGAAAATCAGGAAAAGCTTTCACTTCTCTCAAGCCTGTCTGAAGTTCATAAGCACTAAGAATAAAAATGAAAATAGGATCCGGATTTAAAACTCCAATGTGAAGTCAGTGCTATTTACTATATGGATCAGAGACTTGGTGCGTGATAAAGTCTGAGTGTTATACAGTAATATTTACCGATGACGTTTCGAGCACAATTCATTGCTGCACATAATCATATCAAGGTAGTCTCACAACTTTCTTTGTTTAAATACCTCATGTATTTAAACGAAATCAGAAAGTTGTGAGAGTACCTTGATATGATTATGTGCAGCAATGAATTGTGCTCGAAACGTCATCAGTAACTATTACTGTTAACACTGTGAGACTTTATCAAAATAAATTTTATTCATAATGGAATTTTACTTTACTACAGTGCCCAAGTTCTATCCTTATATCAGTTAATCTTCATTTTACGAAGTCCATTCTAGGAATTTTAAAAAGAATAGGCATTAATTTACTGATGAGACATCGTGACCATCTTCTATAAAAAGAGGTCAGTAAGTTTAAGCCTAATTCCATCATCATCATCTCTGGAGAAGAGAAACAATTTTGCTGCGGCATATACCATCAATTAATAACCCTACACCTGTTCCTAGGACTGATAGAAGCCCCAGTCAAATAAACTAAAGGATGTAACTTAGATTCTTTTATAGTAAGGTGAACACCAGAAGCTGTTAGTGAACTCAGTGAATACCTTCAAAAAGGAACTGGATATTAATAGACATAATTTGCTTAGTCTGCTTTATTCAGAAACCAAGATTGAAGACACACGCACACTTACACACAAACTAAGAAATAACAGTAGAAATCCAGAATGACAATGGAAGCGTTACATGAACAATATTAGTCCAAATAGGTAGGATTAATCAAATATTATTATGCTATTTCTTTCTGATGTCAATGGGAGATGAAACGGAACCAATTCAATAAAAACGAAGTGACGACTGACATTTTAAGCCCTCTCAGTAAGATGTGATTCTATGAGAGTAAGAATCGAAACAATTACTGCGAAACTACACGAAGATAGTAACTGTTGTCGTTGACCAGTTTGTTTAGAAATTGACACATATGACTGAACCTAGATTGATCGCAAACTGACTTAAGTTAGAGAACCATTAGAAACCAGAGAGTACTGAAGGGTCGTTTTGTCCCTGTTTGGGACCCCTCAGTAGGCATTCAAGACTCCACAACCAGAGATCAAACCTAAGACCTTTCTTCACTAGGAGTGAACCTAATGACCCCTGAATTCTAACTTCTTTTAGTTCTCGATGAAAGTTGAACATAATAAATCTCCTTTGCTTTAACGAATAACTGTTTCATCCTAGTTTGTGAATCGTCAGCAGTACGCACCCACTGGGGTTCGAACTCAGGACCTTGCAGTTACAAGGCAAGCTTGTATGCCATTCAGCCACTGGGACCCGATTCAACGGCCCATGAATTCTAACTTCTACCAACTCGTAAAAACAAAACTCATCCTTTCAAGCCAACTATAGAAAATTAATCTAATGCTCGCTAGTGACTTGCTACAGAAGGGAGTGTCCTCGAGTTCTAGTAAGAAGTCGTGAGCAGTGAACTTACTCCAGTCAAGTGTGAGGATGGATGTCCCACTGATGACATTGGTTGGTGGTCGCGCTAAATCACAAATGGTAGAAGTTAAAATTTATGGCCATTGAACCGAGTCCCAGTGGTTAAATGGTATACGAGCTTACCGTGTAACCGGAAGGTCCTGGGCTAGAGCCGTGGCAGTGGGTACGTACTGATGATGATTCTCA